TTAAATGAAAAACATTACCTTGGCAAGGAAGCATGATGTCTGTGAAGTGCAGTACTTCTTCCTCCTGTTGCTCCTCCTGGTTGACCTTGGTTTTCTTCAAGATGAGCAAATTGCCTCTTAAATCGATCAACCCCACTGCGTAAACAACAAAAGAATTACTGATTTCATAACTTTTTTATTTTCAAGATATACTGTTTCCTTAACTGTGTTAATCAGCTAACCTGGGGTACATGAAGCTAAGCTGATCACCGCCACGAAGGTATTCCTCCAACATCTGAGGATGGTATTCCAATATCTAATGTTTTTTTTTTACCAAAGATAAGTGATGTTAGAATCATTGAAGAAGAACATAGAAACAAAATCAGATAGGGGATAGAACAAAGGTATGCAGAAGGCTATTTTTGGTTACCTCTCGATAAATTAATTCTCTAACATCATCTTTTGTTAACTTCTTTCTCTCAAAATCAAATTCAAGCTTTGAAATTGGCTGCGTCGATGGTTCGCGCTCTGAATTTGACAGACCACTGAAGTACGGGTCAGACAGTGCCTGTAAAAAAGGAAATCAGAACAATGAACATACGATTTTTAGTATTAAAAAAAGAAGGAAATATAAAGGCCAATTTATCTATCTTACGTCCTCGGCTGATGCACGATCTTTGGGATCAAAGGCAAGCAAGCGTTCCAGAAGGCGGAGAGCCAAAGGATCAGCTTTAGGGAATTTATGAGAGAAAGGGACTGGCTGTTTTTTCCTCATGCTGCTAAGATATCTCCTCGCCTTTTCATTTCTAATCTATTGAATTTCAAGGTTGCAAAAACTCGTTATAGAAATCACTTTATGGAAAACATTAATCTGCTACAGAAATTTTGAAAATATATTATCCACTAATTGAAGTTACTAACCCTTGCTATCGACTCAGGCGGTGGAGTGCCAAGAAAGTCAGTCATAAGATCCAACTGATGCACCACGTTTTTCCCGGGAAACAAAGGCTTACCCAAAAGCATTTCCGCAAAAATGCAACCGACACTCCAGATATCAATCGCGGGGGTATACTGGAATATGACAAAAAGTAAACTTAGCATGAGATGGTTGATCTTATCACACAAAAAGGAGAAGCTTTTTCTTGTGATGCAGAGATAGAGGCAAAACTAGCAGCTGGGTTCGGTGAAAATGAATCTTACTTTGGAGAAAAACGATCCACAGAGTTCAGGGGCGCGATACCACCTAGTAGCTACATAATCCTACATATAAGAAGTGAGTTCATAAGCACTGAAAGAGTTAAGAGGGAACCTAATGAACAGTTTTGATGCCACATTCTTTGATATGATGACTCACAGTCCAAAATATAGCGGTTGGGGCATCGTTAAAAGAAACACGAGCCAGCCCAAAATCACAGATCTTCAATTTGCAATCAGCATTAGCTAGAATGTTCTTTGGTTTCAAATCCCGATGAAACACATTAGCTGAAAACAGAAACTATTCAGTATTTTCAACAAATCTAAAAAGTCCACGAAGATCGAAAGAGTACTAAATGTATAATCAGAAGATTAACCTGCGTGAACATATTTCAGACCACGGAGAAGCTGGTACAAGAAAAACTGATAATGCTCAGGAGTTAAATCATCGTTGGCCTTGATCACTTGATGAAGATCAGATTCCATCAACTCGAACACAACATAAATATCTCGGAATTCTCTTCGAGAAGGAGGTAACATGATGTGCTTAATCTCCACGACATCTGGATGACGAAGCAACCGAAGCAATTTGATCTCTCTGAGAATCCTTGTTGCATCAGAGACATGTTCAAACACATCGTTTATCTTCTTGATCGCGACTCTTTCTCCAGTGTGACTGTCTACAGCAGAAGCCACAACACCATAGCTTCCTTTACCAACGACTTCTTGAATCTGATACCTGTTTGCTTCTCCATACTCCGTGAAGAATTCAGTTTCCTGCACACCCTGAGGAGTTAGAAACTCATGATCCCTAACTCGATTGGCCACAAATCAGATTGATCTAAAAACAATATGATCAATCAAATGGAACACAAAACTCACATTGTATTCGTTTGAGAACCAAAGGCAAGAACACAGAGCATTAAGAGTACAAAACAAGTTCTCTCGTAACTCAAATAACAAACGCATTTAGACCAAATTGCATCAAAGTCTAATCCAAATCAAATCATCTCTACATTCCCAATAAAAAAAAAAGAAACCTTTTTGTGAGAAGAAGGAAAAAAAGGTATACCTTTTTGTGAGGATCCATAGGTAAGTGATTTCGTTTAGGAACCTTTAAATGTGTTAAACCAGAAAAATCGAGATCTTCAATAATAATAAGCTCGTTCGAATCTCGAGCGTTAGGAAACTGATCAGGGTTAGAATAAAAAGGAGAAGAATTGAGAATGGGTTCGTGATTAGTGGAAGAAGAAGGTCGCTGAAAAAGCCATCGACGAACACCGTCGACGAGATTCCCACCACCACCCATCCACGAAGTAGTAGATTAGAGAGAGAGAGAAAAAAAAGATGAGTAATTTACGAAATTGGGTTTCCGATTTTCCTCTCAGCCAAACGATTCTCGTCAAATCACCATAAATCTCGCCGCGTCTCTCGCTTTTGTCCTTCGGAGTTGGAGACCATGTTCTTCTCCTCTCCCTTATTTTTTTTATTTTATTATTTTTAAATGGTTTTTTTCATGCTCAGATATTTGTTTTCCCCTAGTTGATTGATAGAGACGAGGGAGAAGAAGAAGATGTTTTTTTTTTTTTAATAATATATTTAAAACTTTAGATTATTTCGACGACCTGGTTTGAATGTATATTATCGGTTTACCCTAACCGGACTCTCGGGTTACAATAATTTGCGATGTGGTCGTGTGGGTATGCATTTTTTTAATCCATTCAAAAGAGGTCCACATTACAACATAGCAAGCCCAAATTAAACATTTAAGCATGAAATCGGAAACTAGAAGAGATTGGGATAAACCGAGCTTTTGAGGTTAGGACCGGGCAGTGACTTATTTGGTGACCATGCATGTAGATGACATCGCCGTATTCCATCATGAGCTTAGCAGGAGTCTGTCTTGGTTTGAGAAAGTTACCTTTGTAGATGAATCTTGCAGTCTTGTAGTTAAAGTTTCTCTTGTCGCAGTAAGCAAGCATTAGTTTCTTGAGATGTACATCAACACTCATTTTGTATACATCTTCTCCTCCGTCATGTTGGTTCCTGATCTTGAGAATGACCTTCTTCTCCTTGGGAGCTACACACCTCTTTGATACAGAATTCACCATTACTGTTTATGAGAGAATACACAAATAAAACTCTTTGTGGGTTTTGT